ATTATTAGCAGCTTTGCATCTTGTTTGTTCAGTGGTCAATAAAAAGAGCACCCCTTTATTTCATGCATTCTTTATTTGTTTGAGAAAAACATCTTTTCATTTCTAAGAATTCACTGATTTTTTTGTTTTCAGGACTTCGCTTATTGATGACGAAACTGGCGTCTATTTCTGAAAATGTCACCATCACTGTGAAGTGGCTCCTTCACCCTTTTCATGGAAACCTAACATGTGTTGTGAATACTGGAGACGGTCACATTATTGATCCATACAACCCAGCAGAGTGAGTCTAACGAGATGATGTTCATTTTTAGTTTCATGTGTTAGTGTTAGTTTTGTTCTGGGCAGGATTTAAAATATTARCACACGGGTTTCTAAGACAATAAGATGTTAAATAATGCAAACTGGTTGTAGGTTGTGCTTTTGAAACATTCTCCATTTTCTTTTTATCCATTTTGTAATTGTTCAACAAACAAACAATGCTGCTCAATAGCTAACTAGTTTGTCTGCAGGGGCGGAGCCAGGGGGTGGCCATGGCCACCCCATTGGCCACCCTGCTGCACACACCCCTTCCGCAGTGAAACAACCTTTAGGGGTGCAATAATCTTCCTGAACAATAGGTGGCAGTGTTTAACAGTTTGAAACATCCCCAAACTCAAAGAAGTAACAAAGAAGTAATTGGTTTCTTCAGTACATATGCCTACGTAATCTGACTTATGGTGACAAATGTTTTTTGTTTTGTTTTTTGTCACCATAACACACTGTCATTTTATGTTATGAAAGCTGCATGATGCTCTGTCCCTTTTGGTTATGAGTAGACCTATCACTAAATCAGAAAAAGTGAAATGCCACTTTAAATTCACTGTTGGTGAATACCAATATTGCACCTGTTCATTGGGTAAAATTATTAATATTAGTTTTAAACATGCAGCTGAGGGTCATCATTATTTGGCACAATGATGTGTTAAAWTAAAAAATAAACCAATAAACAATATAAAAGTAAAAAGCACCCCTAAAGTCATTGGATATGATAAATTGTGTGATATTAGTTAATGTTATCTCGGTTAAAGCAGTGAGTTTAAAAAAACATGATAATGAAACTAGTTTAATGAATAAACTGTCTCTGAAATAGACCCCCCCTCCCCAAATGGTTCTGATGCCCATGTTTAATCACTGCCGGTATAAGGACATAAGGAAATGACCAAAACAAAAAGATCTGCAGAAAACTTTCAAGTAAAACAATCATGTAATGACCACCCCGTGTGAGTAGTGGTCCCCGTCTGGCCACCACTGAGAAAAATGTCTAGCTCCGCCACTGTTTGTCTGACTGCTGGTTTGATTTTTATCAGTCATTTTTGATGCACTTCCTGACATATCTAGTAAAAGAAAAACAAATGAATGGAAACTGTGTTAGAAACTGGAGTGGGTTTAAAAAAGTTAAAGACAGAGGAAAAGAAAAGCCATATAGTTTGTTCTTTTGATAATCATGAGCTCGTTTTCTTTTACATTGACCTTTTATTGCAAAGTCTACACCATCATCATCATTTTTAATATTCCTCCTTCTGACAGACTGGAGTCCAGCATTATCCACAAATTCCAGCAGCCTGGTGTTTTCACGGTTGGGGTGGAATGCACCACCAGTGACTGGCATGTCACAGCTCAGAGAYCAATAACAATTCAGGAGCCTGTCGGAGAGTTCACTGCGATCAAGTGCTATGGCAGGGACGTGGCAACAGATGGTGCTGAATGCAATGCACTTTCCAGCCTGCCTGTTCACATCCAGCTGCAGGTGGAGGCAGGTGAGTCGCCCTTTTGGAGGTGTCACAGTTTTCTGACCTCTGCGAACGGATTCAACGTCCATTCTCTTGGCCAACAGGTGTAAATGTTTCCTACACAATTCATCACAAAGACAGAGTGATTGCAAGCGCCTTAGTGYACAAGGGGGTCACACCTCACAACATCACGCTGAACGAAGGCGCGGCGCAGCAGCTCGGACACGGCTGCCATAACCTGAGCATAGCTGCGTCCAACAGGGTCACGACCTTCGGCGTGTCRTCTCATCTGGTGCTGTGTCTGCTGGAGCCTGTTGAGGGCCTGCTGGCTTCRGTGATAGAGGAGGCGGGTGCGTGTCCGGATTCCACCGATCTCATAATTGGTGTCACATTGGAGCAAGGAGCTCCGGTGGAGCTGCTCTTTAATCTCACTGGAGCCAGGGACACGCTGACAGAATCCAGACACATGCTTAATAACACCTTGCAAACGTATACGTTCTCCAACCCACTTGAAGGTACTTAGAGTCGACTTGTGTTATTATACAAACTAAACATGTATTCSTAGTCCACATGTCCTAAAATGTTCGAAACGCTTGTGAAACAGGACTTTTGACAGTGAAAGTACAAGCTGTGAATGCTTTTTCTGTCTCTCACGTGGATGTGGACTTGGAGACGATACTTCAGACCTGTCAGAATTACTCTGCGAGTCAAGATGGAAACACAGCAAGTATCACTAATGTGCAGAGGTAAGTTGTCTGCTGCAACAATGAAACAACTTTGTTTTTGTCTGCAGAAAGATAACATGACCGCTGACAGCACTACAGATTTGAAGATAATTGCTTCCCCTGACACTGTGGTTGACCAGACTCYGAGCGTTACACTGACTGGAGCTGGAGCTGATTCAGTACACGGCAAYAAAATACTTGACTTTGAATGGAAATGTAGTAAGTTCAACAGCCATCCACATGCAGTTCTCCCTTTTTCAGGATTTGCAATTGTTCGTCATTGTCGTTTTAACTTGCACGTTATTTCAATAGAGCCACTTAAGAAACAGGACACATTTTAAGTCCAAGTTTTTGTACATGAAGTAAATCCTCACTGAGTGTTTTGTCAACAGAAGCACAACCAAAGATGGTCAGAAAGTTGTTTACCTGCCCAGTGCTTTGTGTTGTTTTGTTTCTGTTTTTATCAATGCAAATCAGAAAGTCTGTTCTGGTTTTCCAAAGACTCGCTGCATGCAGGTACCAGGATGTGATGTTTGTGTTCATGTGTGAAAGCACAAACTACCCAGATAATATGGACACTAACTTTAAACCAGTAAAACCTTTTGAGTGTTAAAAAACTTAGTATCGTTTTCCCAATCCATACACCAGTGCTGTACCTCTTTATACGTCTTTATAGGGATAACGCCTCTGTCCTTGTTTTGTCTGTGCAGAAGGAAACTGTTCGTGCAAAAACATAACAAAGAATGAAACTCACATTATTGAAAAAGACTGCCTTCCAAATCCATTTGAAATGCTTGAATACACTTTAACTGTGAGGAAAAGAACTTGGTTTAGAAGATGGGTGGACCATGCCTCAGCATCCAAGTGCATCAGCGTTACTCCTTCGAATGAGTTGAGAAATGTCACCATCAGGTAAAACAACAAAATAAAATAAAATCCATCAAGCATTTGCATGAACTCTTCTTTAGACTTTGTTTTAGAAACTAATGCAATTTTTTATTTCTCAGTTGGAATAAATTAAATTTACTATTTGTTTGTGTCCTTTTTAAAGTCATTATAGATGCTAAATAAATTTGTTCTTGCAGTTGCGATAATTGTGCTTCATTAAATGAGAGCGATCATGCAAAACTAAGCCTGAAGTGTGTGACAACTTGCCCAGATGTAGTTTGGTTTATTGAAGATCCCAAACCTCTGACAGTAAGTAAGTAAGTAAGTAAGTAAGTAAGTAAGTAAGTAAGTAAGTAAGTAAGTAAGTAAGTAAGTAAGTA